GATCAAACTTGGCGGTTCCTTCTAAAGTCTACTGCAATTCTATACTTCTAACGTCTCCGCCTGAAACTCTGAACTTTTATTTACTTTACGTCTATCATCCGCTTCATACCCCTCCCGGGTCTTTTGAACAGGTTCATCCCTTGTTTTTGTTTGGGTTTTCGTCTCCTTCTAAAGTATTTTTTTCTCTTTCACTTCCGGTGGCCTTTTGTGCCTTAGTGGCATTATCACCTTGATTGTGGCGATGCCCCTTACTTAATAACCCTCTACCTCGAGTGGCTTTTGGGCCTTGTACAGGGTGACCATCATTGTAAAAAAAATCTACGAGTCCATCTTGCTGGCCATTATATCACGACGAGGCACTTCTCCGTTATTTTTGGAAAACGCCATGAAAAATCAGACAAATGTTTATTTCGTTTTGAATATAGACGTGGGTAGAAAGAACAAAAATACGTTACAATGTAAACATGTACGGCTTTATACACTTAGTCAACTCAACTATAAGGACAGCATTTCAAAAATCAATAGAGAAATGTACAAAAATATAATGTCAGAAAAAAAAATGTATGAAAGCTCAAAATATACGACAAACAATTCAGCTAAATTTAAAACACTTAAAATGAGAGAAAATATAAAAGTACTAAAAATTACTTAACACACACACAGTATTAAATTTCGAATTTTTATTTCTTTTATCTTACTTTTAATTGCTTTTCATCGTAACTACTCTGACATTCTACAGCTATTCTTCTAGGTGCTGTTTCTTTCCCGACGTGGATGATCATAGCTCTCCACAACTTCTTATCCTTTGTATACAGGCGCACCTCTAAAACTCTTGACGATCAGAGATTTTTAGCTAACATCTCTTCCGATCTAATACTAACTTACCAACGGGGTAAAAACTGGCTGGTTACATTCAATGTCTCGAAAAGCAAACTGGTTGCATTCCAACACCGTCGATCAGACCCCGAACTACCGCCAGTCACAATGAACAAGAAATCACCGTACCTTGAGAGAATATTGGGCCTCAGACTCACATCCAACATCAAGGGGAACTCTTATATACGATCCATCGCTAAAGATGCAGGTAAAATGATCGGCTACCTGTACCGTTCCAGTAAGTATCTGACTCCTCATACTATCCTCTACCTTTATAAGAACCAGGTTAGGCTGAAAATGGAGTACTACTGCCATCACTTCACTTGACGGAACATACACAAGAATTTTTTTTTTTTTAAGCATTTCACCCCAAGCAAGGCGGGAAGCCACTAGGACGCAAGGGGTTACAGAAAATAAGAAGATCAGATAGGAGTGATAGAAGAAAGGATGAGGGTAGTGGATAGATTAAGGCAACTGGAGATGTCGATTGATATTACACTTGAATAGCTGGAGATTATAACTCACAGGGAAACAGGAGAAGGGAAGAGAGTTCCACAGGCGAGAGGTGCGAGACATGAAGCTATTAGAGTAGAAGAGACGGCTACATTTATGAGTTTCGACAGTGAAGGGGTGAGAGCGGGATGCCAGCCTCGTAGGGCGCTTGAACTCATGAAGTCTGGGAACTAGCGAATGCAGCTCCTCGGAGCAATTTCCATGAAAGTATTTGTAGAACAGACAGAGGGAGGCATTGGACATCACCTGGAAGAAACACCCAACAAAGTAATGCCTGTATGGACACCTTCCTCCTATCTCAGTTTCGCTGAGAGAGAAAGAAGGCTTCGGCTAGCTTGTCACTCCCGGAGAAGTAAGTCAGAACTTGTGAGTGAAACCCTCCTATCGAACCCATTGCAACGCAAAAGATCGTTTGGAAGACCTCATCACACCTACATTGAGCAACTTGTAGATGACCCTGGATGCCATCTGGAGGACATGCTGACAGCGATGTCTGGCAGAAATGGCTGGAAGGAACGAATCAGGAGAATCAGAGAAGAATTCTCGACCTGATGATGATGATGATGATGATGATGACGGCTGCCATATTTGGGCGGGAGCTACCCAGTTTTCACTTTCGAGTCTTGATAGAATTCAGAAGAATCTCCAAATAAAAAGAAGAAAAAAAGATCTTAGCAAGGTTTGTCTTTTTAATATCCATCCGCTTCGTGTTCTGTAATCTATTTACTCAAACTTAGTTAGGTTACTCACTATTCCGCACTGTCTCTCATGCCTTCGATACGTCCTGTGAGTGTATTTTTATTTTTTACAGTAAAGTTTATCCTGTACAAGATCCTGGGTCCACTTGTGGTAGAGGGCTACATTAGGAGGTTCATTGTTCCTTCCAGCCATCTCTGCCGGACATCGCTGTCGGCATGTCCTCCAGATGGCATCCAGGGTCATATATACGGATAGGAGGGGAAAATAACGGTTAACCCTAGACTTGAACAGGTTAAAATTTTAGTGATCAGGGAAATATCCTCTTGATGGTTGGTTCCACAGGGCAATGGTTCGCGGGAAGAAGCTGTTAGAGTGGAACTTACTTTTCACCAATGGAATACGGAGGGAATGTGGGTGACATGGTGGGTCCTTGCTGTGAAGGTTAGGCTTGGCGGAACCAAGGAATGAAGTCTGTCGAAGCATTCTCCGTGAAAGTAGCGAGAGAGCAGCAATAGTCTTGCCGTATCCTGCCTATGAGAGAGAGGTTGGGGGGAGGAATATAATTCGTTACCCCCAAGGATTCGTAGACGCTTTGGGGCAGCTCCCGCTCAAATATGACAGCAGTACTTCATTCTTTTTAAGTTTCTCTTTCTGCTTCCAAACAAAGGTGCCCTTTTCGTTCCCATTTTCTTTAAAACTTTCTCGTTGCTCACATGTTATGTCCATGGTATTCTCAGAATCCTTCTGTAGAACCGTTGGCTTAACTTGCCTCTACATCTGTGAAAAAAAACTGTCCAGCTTTCCCTATAGAAGGATTGATATTACACAATAGCTCTGTACTTTCTTTGTTTTTAACATTTTCCTGTTTCTTAATACTTTACCTAGTTTTTGGAAGACATCTTTCGTTATTCGAAAGTTCGGGTTTTGGTGTCACATTTTCTGTTTACTGTAAAAACTCTTTTCAGATATTTGAACCTCTTTTTTTTAGCACTATTAATTTTAGCATCTTCAATATATAGTTCGCATTTTGAACTGTTTCTCTTGCTGACAATAATATATTCTGTCTTTTTATAACTGATAGTCCTTTCTTCTCGCTTTCCTTTACTACTTTGCCTAAGAGTTCCTGTACTTTGCTATGTTTGCCACCAATACGGTGTCATCTGTGTATTTTATGTTGATAAAATTGTTCCTAGTAGGACTTTTAGTTCTCTTAGAATTGTCTCATTGTTAATGTTGAATAAATCCGGTGAGGATACTTGTCTCATGCCCTTTTCTGTTTTTACACACTCAACCAATTCACTTATCCGGAGGCAGGCGGTTTGCTCCCAGTATATAGTCAGGATTATTCCAATGTCTTTCTCAAATAAATCAAGATTTTGTAGCCGTTCAAATAGGCAACAGATCAAGGAAAAGCAGCTGAAATGGTATTAAAAGAAATATTAATAAAGATTTAATGATAGTTGACAATAGCACTCAATAATTATTCAATATAATATTAGTACTACTAATACCATGGACACGTGACCCAGTGGTTAGAACTTTCGTATTCTGACCATGAGACCTGTGTGCGAATCATATGGTCGATTTGTCAAAAAGGAGACTGATGTTATCGGACTGGAGGCGTGTGGCACCTTTGCCTGAAATTGTGAACGAAATTGGGTAGACGTAACTCTTGCTAGCACGAAGTCACAAGTCATCGTGGCCGAAGGCCTGTTAACACGCTCTTTCCCAGAAACTGTAACTAGATGCAGTATAAACGACAGGTGGGGGGTCTGTGGGTGTGGAATAAACACAAATGAGCCTGAGCAAGCGTTAGCCGCCCTAATAGATGGGTATACTCGAATACTAGTTGCCAGCTATACTACGAATACTACGAATATACACAGAAGAAATATGGTGCTGGTGCTAGTCTAGTCGAATTTGTAATAGTTCAAACAGTTGGAGAGGATTCGCGTAGTGAAAGGTATGCGAGTTCGTGTCTCGTCTGAGTCTAATTTTAGTTCAAATCATAGGTGTTTATTAATTGACATAAAATGATAGTCTGAGTAAGTGAAATGAAAAGTAAGTAAAATTAAGATGGAAAAATATTAATAAAAAGATAAAGTATTAAGCATCACCCTCCTTCTAAATCGATGAAAAATTAATATTTCCGGGGTGTCTAAGAAAATGTTTAAAGAAGGTTAATGCACAAAAATGATTTTCACAAATGTTTAACCCTGTGCTGTTTCTTATTTTATTTTCCACACACACATACACACAATAAAAATTAATTCACACCACGTGTATCAAAAAATACAATTGCGCGGGAATTCATTCCTTACCATGCCCTGTGTGGTCAAAAACAAGGACCGCGCACCCAAAAGTTCGGACGTACTGAAAAGCACACCACGTGGTCAAAAATATGATTTATTGACCAATCAGGACTCGACATAAGAAACCCATTTCTTAATCTCCCCGGAGCCTCATCATTCTTATATAAGGAAGGTAGAAACTCTCATCAGAAGGGAGAGAGAACAGCGACAAGCTGACATCAAAGCGACACGGACAGTTTCGAGCACACACACACCGAGAGGATTCAGCGGTTCACACAACAGGCAGTATCACGTATCAGTGAACATTCTTTCACCCTCTCTTTCTCTCATCTCGCTCGCTACACATAGTCCTACCTTTCCCTCTCACATTCCCAGTTCCTTTCTTTCTCTTTTTCTTCCGCAGCTTTACGGACAATTTCATTTTTGTACAAGGAAAAAAATAATTCTTTACAAAAATAAACAAAAGTTTATTTTACTTTATTTGTAGTGTATTTTCTTTTTATTATTTGTTTGAGGGACTTCTTTGCACCCTCTACAAATTGGTGACCGACGTGAGACACTACATTTAAAAAAACAAACAAAACGAAGAGGAATGACACAATGGAATCACAATCTTCGAAACCCCCTCTCGCCACACTATCGTTGAATATCCCGGCTTTCAACACGACTAACACTAAGTCCTGGTTCGTTCAAATCCAGGCATTATTTGATGCGAAGCGAATCACCTCCCAGAGAACCCGGTATTGTTACTTAGTGGAAAAACTGCCAGCAGACATCGTCGAGGAAGTAATGGATTTACTGGAAAATGTCCCGGATGACAACCTGTACGATAGACTCAAGGAAGCAATTTTAAAACGGACCGGTGCCTCGAACGAAGCCATGCTACGCAACCTTTTCACTCAGGTTGAATTAGGAGACCGCACCCCATCGCAGTTATTGAGGCACATGCGAACCTTACTGGGTGACAACAAAATGTCCGAGAACATTATGCGGAGCTTATGGCTGGACAAGTTACCCACTACAACAAATCCTCGCACCCATGACGGAGGAAACGCAGACAGAAAAACTCGCGGACATTGCAGATCGGATTCATGAAAGTTTTCGAAGCCGCAGAGTAAACTCTATCCAACCACAACCAGCCCAACAAAGAGACAGGGAATTTAACGACCTCAAGTCTACTGTAGAAAGGTTGTCTATACAATTACAAGACTTACTGCAAAAAGACCGACAGTACCGCCGCGATAAATGTCCAGGCTACAGAATGTGAAGTTTCAGCAGAGTCCGGACTGACAACCGCAATCGAAAAGATGAAATTTGTTACTACCACAAAAGGTTTGGTCCTGAGGCGAGACGTTGTACACATCCTTGTTCTTTCAACAACGCGAATGCGGGAAACGGAAATTCCAGCCAGTAGAGACGACGGCTGTTGCTGGATTTTAACAAAAAGGTCGTCTGTTTTATATCCGCGACAAAATTAATGGATATAACTTTTAATAGACACCGGGGCTGAAATAAGCGTGATACCACCAACACAAAATCAGGAGACTATGCCACAGTCTTATCATCTTCAAGCAGCTAACGGTACCAAAATACCAACTTACGGAGAGAAATCGCTCAATATCAATCTCGGCATGCGACGGAATTTTTCTGGAATTTTACCATAGCCAGTGTAACAACGCCTATATTGGGGGCAGATTTTTAGCCAGATTCAACCTGTCTGTCGACATGACTAATAGCACACTGGTGGATAATCAAACCAAGATTTCAGTAAGAGGACTCACCTCGAAATACCAGTCTACCTTACCCGAGGACCAGTACATCCGTCAGCTACTAAGAAAATATCCACAACTCTCCCAGCCATTTAAAAACACAGACACCATAAAACATAATGCCAAGCACCACATCAAGACAACTGGACAACCTGTTTATGCCACCCCAGACGATTGAAACCGGACAAGTATAAGATTGCGAAAACGAGTTTCAACATTTATTACAACAAGGATCATCCGACCCTCGAAAAGTGCTTGGTCTTCACCGCTACACATGGTGCAAAAAGTCCGACGCTACAACATGGCGTCCTTGTGGCGATTTTAGAAGATTAAATGCTAAAACGGTCCCGGATAGATACTCTATTCCACATATCCACGATTTCGCCATCGGTCTACAAGGCGCCACCATATTTTCAAATTGGATCTTGTAAAGGCGTACTACAAAGTTCCAGTGGCAGAAGAGGACATTCATAAAACTGCACTGACCACACCATTTGGCCTTTACGAGTTCGTAAGGATGCCTTTCGGGCTTAGGAACGCCTGTCAAACCTTCCAGAGGTTAATAGACGAAGTTTTTAGAGGTCTGCCATTTATATTTGCATATGTGGATGACGTTTTAATCGCCAGCAGAAACCTCGACGAGCACAGACAGCACTTAGAGCAAACATTTGGAAGAATATATCACATATTGAAAAACATATGTATCTTTCATATATTTTCCAATCTGTGGGGGGGAGTATTGTGCTGTTTCTTATTTTATTTTCCACACACACATACACACAATAAAAATTAATTCACACCACGTGTATCAAAAATACAATTGCGCGGGAATTCATTCCTTACCATGCCCTGTGGGGTCAAAAACAAGGACGGCGCACCCAAAAGTTCGGACGTAGTGAAAAGCACACCACGTGGTCAAAAATATGATTTATTGACCAATCAGGACTCGACATAAGAAACCCGTTTCTTAATCTCTCCGGAGCCTCATCATTCTTATATAAGGAAGGTAGAAACTCTCATCAGAAGGGAGAGAGAACAGCGACAAGCTGACAATCAAAGCGACACGGACAGTTTCGAGCACACACACACCGAGAGGATTCAGCGGTTCACACAACAGGCAGTATCACGTATCAGTGAACATTCTTTCACCCTCTCTTTCTCTCATCTCGCTCGCTACACATAGTCCTACATTTCCCTCTCACATTCCCAGTTCCTTTCTTTCTCTTTTTCTTCCGCAGCTTTACGGACAATTTCATTTTTGTACAAGAAAAAAAATAATTCTTTACAAAAATAAACAAAAGTTTATTTTACTTTATTTGTAGTGTATTTTCTTTTTATTATTTGTTTGAGGGACTTCTTTGCACCCTCTACAACCCTAATTTTTACGAGTGGACCAGCTACTCTCTCTCTCTATATCTATCTATCTATCTATCTATCTATCTATCTATCTATCTATCTATCTATCTATCTATCTCTATATATATAAAGTCTGTATCAATTTTTCGAATGCTTAATGTCAAGTTTAAATTTAAAATTTCTAGCTCCAGTACGAACAGTCTGTACACCACGGTTGAATAAAACTAACGTACTTTTCGTTAGTTGACATAATCTATACCTCACTATATCAAGTAATTTTAAATTTTTCGTTTATATATATTTTATATATATATATATATATATATATATATATATATATATATATATATATATATATATATATGATGGACTCTCCGCCTTGAAAATTTATAGTTAGAAAGGAGAGTCTATCATAATAAGCGTATTTCGGCAGACGAAAATATGTTGTCTGTCTTATAAACCCCGGGGTTTATAAGACAGATAACATATTTTCGTCTGCCGAAATACGCTTATTCCCCATATGAGTTGATTTTGAATTTTATTGTGTATTAATCATTTACTCTGTAATAATAAATACATTGCGTTCTTTGTGGATCAGTTTTAATATTTTATATTACTAGGATCCACTTGGATTATTTACCAACGGATTTATTACCCTTACTATATATATATATATATATATATATATATATATATATATATATATATAAAAAGAGAGAGAGCTGGAAACATTTTGTATACTTCTAATATAAACTGTTAACAAATGTCAGTCCAAGAAGGCTTGCGGTCACTCAGTGCGACTGTTTGAAATCGTAAGCCACAAGGTATCAGTTGAATGAACTCACTCGACATCTGTATGAATCGTGTTAGACGGACAATGTATGGAGTGGTGAGAGAGAGAGAGAGAGAGAGAGGAGGGTGGGAGACGAAGTAGAAGACAGGAAGACAAGTAGTGAATCGACCTTTAGAGAAGTAACATCTATATCATCTCTGGGCGTGTTTTTTTGAGGACCCATTTCTGAATATAGAGCAAAGTATTGATTTTGAGTCTACGGAAGCGTTCAAGTATGCGACACATATCGGCAGCACGTAAATAAAAAAAAAAGAAGTAAAGATTAGTGAGCACAATGTGAGGGTCCAAAGTGAAAGGTCAGTGCCGAATAAAATACTTTTCAATGTTTGTATTTATTAAATCTAGCTTAGTACAGTACGTTATATCGTATTATAGTACAGTGTTATCAGTTATCAGCAAGAAGTTTAGTATAGACGACCCGAGTTCAAATTTCGGCAAAGTTCACTATTGCACAAATGCCCTTGGAGAAGGTATGAATCCATCTCTCCTCCTGGGCTATCTAGATTGGGTACTCTAGGGTACCTACACTGAATTTTCGATAACTAAGATTTAAAATCAATTGATGATTTACTTTCTCCAATGAGTCATGCTTTTAACTAATAAAAAATTTCCGCCCTAAAAATTGAATTTCTCAAAATTTCATGAAATTAAGTGGGTGACAGCATACGTAAAAAAATATTTTTTACCCAGATTTTCTAAAAAAAAAAATTAAAAAAATAATTGCATTAATTTCTGTAAATTAAAAAGTCCTGAAATTTCATTAAAATTTGACAAATATTTGAGTCTTGTAAGAATTTCCAAATTAATGTGTTTAACCGGAAAAAGTGGGGGGGGGGCTTTATCGTTACGTCGGCCACTGACGTAAACAAAACAAGATTTTTAACCACAATCTCCAACGTGCTAGAAAGGATAAAAACATTAAAAAAAAATAATAAAACAATACTTTGGTCTTTCCTCTTAATAATAACATAAACATTTTGATGACAAAGCTTTGTTTTTATTGAGTTTTTGGGCCTTTTTTCATCATGCTATGCTGTTTTTTTCCGCAAAAAAGTGGAGGTACCAAAGGTACTCTCTGCCACAAGTCAAGGAAAAGGATATTCTTGAATTCAAAACTAGTTTGGCCTGGGGCGAACAACTCCACTCCGTAAAACGAACTGTAGTAAACCCTTGCATTGTGTGGTTGCAGGCGTAGGCTGTATAAAGTGTATTTTCAGTGCACCCACGTTGCAACGAAAGCGACACAAGGTCAATTTAAAGTGAGATACCGTGAAAAAATTGCTCAAGTCCCCCTCATCACTTCCCCTTATTGAGGACGCCGGATAATGACCCTAGCACCACCCCGAAGGTGAGGTACTGTCTGGGGGACGACCCCTGGGACATGATTTTAATATAAATTTCAACTTTCCTTGATGGAAGCAAAGTTCGATACAACGTGAGTACAAGAAGTTTACAGGTTCAAGAAATCATTTTAGTAAAAACCCACGTCTACCAGCCTTGAAAATCGGTGTTCGATTTTTTTTGTTGTTGCTCAAATGCCAACCAGAAATGAGCAACTCCTATAACAACGAATTCACAGTTCTTCAAGAGTGAATTGCGTATTTTCTCACTGGTAATTCGAGAATAACTACAATTCGTAGGAATTCGAATTCTGATGTCCAAGACAGGCAGGCAAGCAGGCAGGCAGGCAAGCAGGCAAGCAGGCAGGCAAGCAGGCAGGCAAGCAGGCAGGCAGGCAGATAAGCTTCCGGTTCTTCCATTTTCGTACCATTTTTTTTTTTATCTTCATTGCTTTCCACTTGCTATGAAATGAATTTTTTAACTCTTCAAAATTCTCAACTTTATGAGAATTTTATTTTGTACTAGCAGTACAGCCCGGCGTTACCCGGGGATGTAACAGTAAGGGATAGATCAAATATCGACCATCATAAAGACTGAAAAATAAAATTGACGAAGATTATTGTTTAAGGTTGACGGACACGCATGTCTTAATTAGTTTATTCATTTATTTTTTTTTTTTTACGAATTGCTCAAACCCAAACTCAAACAAAAACATTGTTTTCAATCGTTATGAGTCTACCGATTGAATAGAATTTTATTATAAACAATTGTCTTGTAAATGGAATTTTTTAAAGCATTCTGAATGTAAAAATAAAAAAAAAAAAGTGTGCAAGACAATAAGAAACATTACCTGCCAAAAAAAGTGATTTTTTGTTGAAATTGGTTGAAAATGTAGGAAATCCGATGCCATATATAAACGAACACAGACACACACACACAAACAACCTGGGTTTTATAATAAGTATAACTCGATATGAGTTGTCCCCCTTTCATTCTTGCGACAGCGATGCCTCTTAATCGTGTTTTCAAATTGATTTCGTACAAAAACAATTGTGATTTTCCAATTTTGGGCGCTGTCAAAACCACCGCAAGGTAATTTTACATAGTCATGTGAAGTTTTGTTGAAATCGGTTGAAAAATGTAGGAAATCCGATCCAATATATAAATGCACACACACACACACACACACACACACACACACACACACACACACACACACACACTATCTGGGTTTTATAATAAGTATGATTTTCAGTATATTATTGTATTTTATTTTATGGTTACACCCCATGCAAGGTGATAATACCAATTAAAAGAGGATGAGAATGGGAAGACTTAGATTGGAAAAGATTGAGTAAAGGCCAAAAAGAACAGTTTTCAAGAAAACAGAAAATGGTAATTGGTGTTGCATTTAAGATTATAGCTATCAAGGAAGCAAGAAATCGGGAGATCCACAAGTGGTAAGTGCGAGCAAAGAAACCTTTGGAGTAGAGGTAACGGTTGCATCTAGGTAGTTCAATAGTAAACGATGAGACCTAATTGCCAATCTAGTAGCACGCTTAAATTCATGGAGTGACGACTTCGGAATCTGCTGCAACTCGTCTGGACGGTCTTTTTGTTTAAGTTGGCGAATGCTGCCATGATCCTTGCCTTTAGTTCATCTTTGTTGTCACAAGGAGTTTTGTTGGTCTCTCGCTTAACTGCACCCACACCTAATAATCAAGGGGGTTGTAGTTTGGGGAGTTAGGTGGCCAGATGTAATGGGTGATGTGGTCACAGAAATTGTCTGACAGCCATGACTCGGTTCTTCTGCTTGTGTGTCATGGTACAGAGTCCTGTTGCCAGATACGGGATCTTCCAGCAGCCACCAACTTGACACAGGGCAGACCTACCTCCTCACGACACTTGATGTAGGCCTCCGTGTTGAGTCTGAGGCCCTCACCAACACATTCAGAAGTTCTTTTCTTATCAAAACGATCAGAGTGAGTTTTCCCAGCTACTGTACCTTCGTAATCACCATTAGACTCATACAACACTTTCTGAATCCTCTGCACTGTCCTCCGATTGACACCCAAACACTCTGAAATGTTCGTTGGAGCTTCCGGTACGAATGTCAAGCAGTACAGCATGCTATTTGCAAGTTTCTGGCAGAATGATCTGCGTCATAACGCTCTTCGTTCTTACAGACGCTGCCCAACTAAACTTACTATACTCTGCGGTCGACAAAATAAAAAAACAACGCGCATGCGCAAAATGAAAAATATAAAATGTCGGCAATCTACCCCTCGCACCCTGTATATTCCCCCCTGTTATGTATGAAATAACAGACTAGAGTGGGCTCTTTAGCTTTGGTTAGCAGTAATCTAGAAGGACTGCTTTGGATTCAGTACTGTGGATAAAGCAACAGGAAACCAATTCTTTCCCAAGAAGTTACGGCGAGTCACACATATGCGGAAGCTGCAGAGAAAAGTGGTCGCTTCCTGCCTGAAAGAACGCAGCATTCTTTAAAAAATGATTCTATCCAACGTAGGTGACTTTCAATCTTTTTCTAAAAAAATCTTGTATTAATTATAGGTTTATAAATATCAGGTATCAATTATAAAATTCTACCTACATCTCATTTACTATAATGGATTAAGGAAGCATATATCCTGACGAAAATGTGTGATTAGTAACAGATATGAGAGATACTGATTATAACTGAGAAGAGACATTACTGCAGGATAATCAGAAAGTTCAAGAAAGCTGCGGATGTCCCGTCGGATAGATACATAAATTAGGTCAATGGAGATTTCAGCACCGTGTGCTTAGGTTATCTTTGACTACAAGAAGAGTATTGGAGATTATTCTCTTGTATAAATATAGAAAACATCAGTGTTACACAGACTACTAAGAAGCGTCGTCTTGAATCGCGTTGCTGGGAATTAAACTATCCGG